GAATTACATTTATGATAGCTATTAAAATGTCACATGTTGATATCTAATTTAAGACTCCAGTTATTGTAATTTTAAAAAATATGTTCCAGAATAAAAAATAGTAGATTAACCTTAAGAAATATGATGCAAAATAACACATACAATTTTTGTAAGCAGAAGTTAAATTATACATATACATAAAAAAAGGATCTTTTTATTAATTATTTTATGAATAAATATTTTGATATTGGTAGACGTATTTGCATTAATTTGGGCGTCTTAAATTAGGTAATGTCTAAGTACATAATTAAGCGACTTATAACTGTTAAGTCATTCCTACTATCATAGTATTTCTGTAAAAATATTTAATTTAGACATATTGATACATTGCATTTAGCCGAAAACAATTTCTAAATACACAAGCACGTGAACTATGTATATTGCAATGGGATCATATAATTATTATCATATTCTTTCCAAATATTATTTGAAACAATATATTGTCATTAAGGACTTTTAAAAAACTTTTCTAACAATTTCATTTTTTCTTAATATTCTTTAACTCTACAAGATCCCATCGTATTAAGTGCGACTCCGAAAATTGAACATTGTAATGCGAATATTTCATCGTAGCATGTATGGATACCACTATTTTAATATTTCATATTTGTTTTACTAAAATGGGCATGTATCTATTTCAACTGTATTCTATCAAGATATAACAATAAATAAATTTATCATCTTGCATAAGTGAGATCCTTTCTATCTTTGTCGCACGCTATCCCTATCCTTATCTTACACATGGCAGAAATAGAAAAATTAGTTTACAAAGTCGCCACCGTAGATGGCGCCATTAGATCACTAGAAAATTTAAATTTGCAAACATAAAAATATTGAATTTATGTTGTGTACAATAATTGCTCTATTATCCTGATTTAATTGTTGCTCGATCTTACCTTGGCTAACTGAAATAATATAATTCTATAACGCTTAATTAATTATCAATTTTTCGTTAACCACAGATTTTAGGAAAGACAAGAAACAAAGTACAATTACAGTTTTACATGAATTAATTTATTTAAATTTGCGCTTCACTTATAATTTTCTTGATTTTAATTCGTTTAATTTATAATATAAATCGGGGTTAGTTTTTCATTTAGTTTTAATTATAGTATTAAAGCTGTTGTTAAGTTGTGTGAGACATTGCAACAATCCTTTGCCCTGTTTCAAATAAATCATCCTGAATCAAATTCTAATCCTTCGCAACCCATTTTAAACTCGCATCGATGTAAAAATAATAAAACATTACATAATAAAATATTTCAAGTACAAACGAATTCGATTAATATTAAATCCTATGCACATAAATATTAGATCAAATCACAAGTAACCTCCGCACATAATGGAAAATTATCAAACGAGTATTAATCATGGAATACTAATACTTAGAAATAAATTCAAGACCGAACATTATTTCTGATTGAACCTAATATTTTGTAATAAATAAACAGTAATAAAAGTGTGCCAAGAAACTATATTTTCTTCAGCATTCAGAAGACGAATTCAAATTAGGAGGAGAAATTTTCTTAGTCCTAGTGAGGCGATCCAACTCCACCGCAGCGTCGTTCGTCACAGCTGATTTTTCTACTGGAGGCGAATCTAAAATAAAAATGAAGATAAATGTGTAATTAGAAATTCTTGATTGCGACCGTATTGTATTACAGTAGACTATATTTACCAATTTTTATTGGACTTGTGCCTACACTACCTGGTGATCCAGGTGATCCGATCTTCTTATGAAGCAGTGAGTTGAAAAAGTTTGCTAAAACACCCTCACCAGACTGTGAAGCCCCCGTTGCTTTTGGATCCAGCTTTTTATTCGGGGAAGCCACCTATGTGAGAAGAATTTAATGTTTGCCGAGTTGTATTTTCTGTCACATACCCATGACAGATCATACCACATTGATTAGAACATGCTTTCAAGTGTTAAAGCGTTCAGCGGTCATACAAGCTATCAATTAAACAATTCTATACACAGGGTATACGTGCTCAAATATTTGTCAAAATTGTTAATTATGTTAAAACATATTTCGGTATCATTAACAGTTTTGAAAATATTTCAGCTTCCGAATCATTCACGCCGTGTTTAATTCATTTTATTAATGTAAACTGTACTTCAACTGTGCAATTACGAAGTACAAACACTAAACGATGCGAACACATCAAGATGGATTAATGACATATATATATGAAAATGAACGCATACAGTGATTTTAATGTATGAAAAGCTAATCATGAAGTATTACGACAAAGCTGCATTCACTTAAAAATTAAATTAAAGTCATGGAACATGTTTAATCCTTTCACGACTAGCGCCGTCTATATATGGCAAACACTCTTTGCTTCACAGAGGCTTCCAGTTGGGCCGTCGCGAAAGGGTTAATGTACTAAGAACGTCTAGATCGAATATATCTTGATGCAAGTAAGCATTGCTTGTTACAAGTAAAAAGTATGATCATCTTACTTATATGATACCACTGTACACATTAGCCACAAAGACATTTTTCGATGCTGGATGGTTATTGATCAACTGCGTGTAACATGAGAAGCATGCTCCAATTATAAATGGTATAACCTGAATCACCGGTCCCGTGCTTGCCTGATTCCTCAGCGTCGGAGAACGGGTTGGATCTTTCAAGCCTAATAATTCTATCTGCTGCTTCGCCAGAAAGGCTTGTTCCTCTTCAGCTTGTACTTCTGCCTCTCTTGTGACACACTGTTTCACAAAAATATGTGATAATTAATCTTTTCCTTGGTGACGCATATATTAGTCTGTATAATGTTGTATACACACTCTTCTGTTAGTTGCTGGCTGTGCTATCACGTCTCTGTAATAATCATCGGGTTTCATGGACTGTAAGTTCTCAAAGAGAATGCTGATCTTCTTCATATTGTCCCAACCAGCTGGGCTGTAATTATAAATAACGGTTAACACTATATTAAACGCGTAAGAATCATGATAAAAGATAGTATTCACATTAGTACAGCATCCTTTTCAACCACTAAAGCAGGTGTTCTAAACGGTAAAGAATAAATTCTGTGCGTGAGGTATCTGTAAAGTAGATCACAGTTCTTGTCCTCCTTTGCTGATGTATAAAATAGTCCTGCACCGAACTGCAAGCAGAACCGACGTATCCACTGTTGGATAAAGTCAAAATGCTCGTCTCTGGAATGGTTAGAACAGTTTCACGTTTCTCTAAATTCCAATGACTTGAATTTTTAAGTATCATAATCTCACTTGTAGTCGTGCTCCTTTTCTAGTGTTGACATATAATCGGTTTTTGTAATAACAACAACAACATCGAGGCCCAAGTTCGTCGTGAGTGCGCCCTCTGGTAATGGTAAATTGTCAATCGTTTCATCATCAAGATTGCGACTGGTACGTCTCAGAGGACTACCAGGATCTAATTCATCTCCTGGCTCTGCATAATCCTGCCATTTCTTGACATCTGAATAAAAAAAGGAACATTACAGGATCACTGTACTAACTCAATTACATATCATAAAGCTTTAGTTACTCAATTGTCTGCACTGTTGCCTAGTTTCATTATCTAAACGTAATTTATCAATATGGTCTCCAAGAAGTGCAGCCCAAGACTGTAGTTGATGGAAAATATCAAATGGTGTTGTCATTGCAGCCACTAACATAACAAGAGTGTGCGGAAACCTTTCCTCGTTGAGCGCGAACCTCAGGAGATTGGCATGTCCTGGATCCCCATCCAGAATCCAAACAGATAATCTCGTTTGATCTAAACAAAATTATTTTGAGTTTGCAGTTTTAATATATTATGCATCTACACTGAAATTAATATTAAATTACTATTACCATCTCTATAGTCGTCTCTAACATCGATGTAAGCAAATTCTAAACCAGAACCCTTCTTTGGATCTTCTACACCTTGCAATTTTGCAATAAGCGTTGTTTTTCCACTTTCGTTGTCCCCTGCAGATAAATGAATTTTCATTAGACAAACTTGATTGTTATTGCATAAATTAATGAAACACCGTTCACCTAACACAAGGATGTTCTTGTTTGATGGCAATTTCTTGTTCCCGCTGTTTTGTACCTCAGACAAAATAGAAGACCTGCAGGAACCAAAAGCACAATGATTCATGGTAATTAAAAATTCTAAACAGGAGCTAGGAAACTATTATAATATGTGACACTTGAAAGATAATTATACATTGAGTGAATATGTAATTATATTGAATTATAGTGACTGTGACAGTGAGCTTTATGAACGTACCATAAATTGTCTTTATTGTCTGGATCCTCTTTCTTTTTCGTCTGAAACCCATTGTTCTGCATCATTATGTCAATCGCTGTTGCTGCCATGATTGTATTTGACAGAATGAACCTATCTATCGATTATACAGATATCACAGGCGCGGTTTGCAGCCTACTTCATTCAATGTGAACATCTTCGGGCATTTAAACATGTGAATTAAAAAATTTTAAAGCTCGATTTAATATTATTCATTGAAGAGAATGAAATTTTCAATGGCAATGTGGAAAATAAAAATTTTGCAATACGAAACTTTGTTGCAAACTGTAAAGATCAATTCGAACACCCGGTATGTATGTTTGCGCGTGTAAGTGTATCTATTTTAAAGTTGGTAATGCAGTTTGCATACGTTTTTATTCGCATGAATAACATTTCGCACTGTAATGAATGATTCGCGGTGAAATCTAAATAATTGGAGCAACAATTTGATGTGAAGACATTTCATAGTAATTAAAAAAAGATGGTAGGGATTTTAAACGAATCTGACAGTGAAGACGAGCTGCCTCCTGGTTGGGAGGAAATGACAACTAATGATGGAAACGTCTACTATGTAAAGTAAATCAATTTTACACAATTAAAACAATTTATTGTATCACTGACACTTAATAACAAAATTTTATTCACAAAACCAAAGTACGTAGTTTACTAAATAGTTCGCGATATGTTTTTAGTCATTACACAAAAGGCACACAGTGGACACATCCCAGAACTGGCCGCCAAAAAATCATAGAAGGAGGTATATAAATAAACTTATAGATTACCCTATATTTTTTGATAGATATTAATCAATATCATTTGTTAATAAGAATTACCAACTGGCTGGGAGAGGCATGTAACAGAAGATGGCAATGTCTTATTTGTTGACCAAACAAACCAAATAACAACATACACTGATCCACGCCTGGCATTTGCTACTGAATATGGAGCCTCATCACAACCCGTACGACAGCGCTTTGATGGGAGAAGCACAGCATTGGCTGTGTTATATGGCAGAGATTTACGAGACAAAGTTGCCATTGTTACAGGAGCCAACACTGGCATAGGTAAGAATAACAACTATTTTAGTCTACACAATGCATACTAACATATTGTTACTTTTACAGGATTCGAAACAGCTAGATCATTAGCATTACATGGTTGCAAAGTGATTCTAGCTTGCAGAGATGTGAAAAAGGGTGAGGAGGCAATACAAAAGATCCACAAGGAAATGGACAATAGTTGTGAAATATTGGAACTGGATTTATCTTCCCTGCACAGTGTTAAGGAAGCTGCTGAGAAGTTTAAGCAAAAATACAAGTAAATTTGTATAGTAAAGGAAATTACTTCATCATGGGTTTCTATAATTTGTTTTATTTTCAGGACTCTTCACATACTGATATTGAATGCTGGAGTCTTCGCAAAGAACTATGAACTCACCAAAGATGGCTACGAATCAACGTTCCAAGTGAATCATCTGTCCCATTTTTATTTCACTCTGTTGCTGGAGCAACCAATTCGAAATTGCCATAATTCTAGAGTAGTAGTAGTATCCAGTGAATCTCACAGGTGTCTCAAAAGATTCTTGATTACCAAAAAAGAAAGAGTGTATCAAATTTTAATGTATGTTTTTCAATAGGTACTCATCGCTTCAGATAGTTGAAGACTTTCATCAACTGACACTGTCTCCCCCTGCTTATAAATACTGGTTCATGGCAGCGTACAATGACTCCAAATTGTGTAATATTTTGTTTGCACAAGAATTAGCAAAACGTTGGCCAACTGTCAGTGTATTTAGCTGCCATCCTGGTAATTTAGTTTCATCTTCCTTGACACGTTACTCTTGGATGATGCGACTTCTGTTCATGCTAGTGAGACCATTCACAAAATCATTGGTAGGGAATTGATTTATTTGAAGTATGAACTTTTATGGGAATTCATGTAAAATAAATTTTACAGCAACAAGCAGCAAGCACACAAGTTTTCTGTGCAACTGCACCAGAATTGGAAGGGCTAACAAGCGTTTACTTTAACAATTGCTATCGGTGCGAACCATCAAATGCGGCACAGGACTCGGCACTAGCAACAAGATTATGGTCTGTTAGCCAAGAGATGATTGTAAATATTATGAAAAAGGATAAGCTTTGGGAAACTGTAGCATTAAAATGAGACGTGTTGTAAAATATAAACCTGTACTAAAAAATACTTTAATAATAAAGAATTGATTTATAATTTTTTAGTACGTGATAAAGATTTGTTAACAAACAAATTACTGATTAACATGAAAACAGTGCAATTTCGCACATTCAAGGATTTCATACATCACTTTTAGGTTTATCGCGATGTGAAAATTTATCGTAATTATTTACAGCCGTAATTCCACCGACTAAATCATTTCTAAAAATCATTATGCATAATTATGTGCATAAATTTTTGGAGTCTACTGTTGGTGCTATTTTTGGTAAAGATATAACTTGCAGGGAACCGGTGCATCGTTGCGATGACCATCAACCGGGTGTTATAATGGAATTTGGCAGAACTGGTGTAAAAGTAAAATTTTAATAATTTATTATGAATAGTACTTTCTTTCTTTATTTTGTTTGAGACTGTTGCTGAAGGTTACCGTCATTGTAAATTCATTTCGCTTTTATTTAAACATTTTTAAATATCTATTTCCTCAAATTGAACATTAGAGGGCGTTCACTTACGAAACATGCCAAAACTTTCGTCTGTCGAATACATATTAGCAGAAGTTTAATTTCTGTCGAATTAAATTCAATATTCCTGTGAATATTCCAATTCATTTATGAATGACATATGAACTGTAATTGAGTTTGATTGTTCCATCAAATTTCGTATAAAATGGAGCAGATAATGGTAATATTGCATTGTTATATAAATGTCCGTTATATCAATTTAAATATCAGTAAAGCATGGTACATTATCTATAAATTGATGTTATGAATATTGCTATTACTGTATGAATAAAAATTGAATAAATGTTTTTGTGAAGTTTCTCAAGAAATTCATGATGCCCTGTGGACTCTGCGCTGCAGTGCCAGTTCTGAAACCTGTCAATCCTCCAGAGCAGCAACCGAAGCCATGCCATACTGAAAAACATTCAGAGAATCTGATCAAACCATCTGAGCTGCCCATTTACTCCACAGAGGAAGGGTATACACAGATGCCATGGTAAAGCGCAAGTAATTTCATATCGATACATATATTTTGATTCCTTTTGAAAAATGTTTAATCCATTAAATGATAACCTAATCATCTTTTAGCACAGAACACACTCGTCCAACTATAGTCGAAGAAAACATCAGAAAAGTTCGTGTGCAATTGCAAGAGTTAAGGCAAATTGGTGATAATGTTTCACAGAAAGTTACAACAACTGTTGATCAATTTAAATGTAGGTATTCATAGCTAATAGTAAATTTGTAAATAAATAATGTTTAATTTTTCCAGATATAATTGATTATCTTCAAGATGAAGCAAACATTCTGCCAAGAGCTGGAGCTGTTGGTATCGGAGGCTTATCAGGATTGATACTGGGTCTCCGGGGAGGTCTTTTCAAGAAATTCTTCTATACAACGACAGGAGCTAGCATTGTTGGAGTAATTTGTTTTCCGAAGGAAGCAAAGGAAGCACTCAATGCTATAGAGCATTATGGACAAATTAGTTACAATTTTATTTATGGAGGTATGTTTCATTCTTTTGTTGAAAAACAATATAATAATCATATTAATGGCATTGTTTGCAAATGTAATAATGATTTCAGTCAAACCAGGGGATAGCAAAGGGGAAACTTCATTTAAGGAATATCCATTAGTAAAAAGTGTGCTTGAATCGGAATACTTTCAGTTCTTAACAAAACCTTTTGAAAAAGCTTCTGAAAAGAAGGAGGTAGGATGCAAAAACACTGATTCATTATTGCATCATTCCTCCTGTATCCCCCAATTGCATTAATTAAAGCCTGAGTCCTAGGAAAATTCCTCTACATTAATAATCAATTAAATTATAATTTTTAGAATTATTTATAAAGTAGATATTATAAATTGCACATAGATTATCTATGAAGGATTCATATTCTTTTTTTAAATAACTTTGACCATAGATGTTGAAACACCTGATAAAAACGTTTTGGAAGTCCGCCCAGCTTCATTTAACCATAATAATGACAATGGCTCCAAACACCTAGAACCAATCATATTAAATGAATCTCCACATGTGACAGAAATCCAAACTTCGAAAAGTCAAAATACGTGGATTAAGTGGAAGTAATCATTTAGGTATCTTTCCCACTCCCGATCTTCCTCAATTACTACAAAATTATTATTAATTGATATTGATAAGATTATTTATATATTTGTTATTATAACTCAATAATAATTGGTTTATTTTAGGAAAATCCAACTGCAAGTAAATCTTGATCGAAAAAGGAATGAATTTTGATGTATAGTAGTGAACGGCAAATACGTAAATCACACATAACTATAAATTATACATTGTTTTAATATAATATATATATTAATAAATATTTAAAAAGTCTGTTATTAAACAATTACGTTTAATTGACCCCTTGATATTTGAACGACAAATAATTTCAATTGAGGTAACTTAATTAAAAGATACAATTTTTTTAAAAATTGCTGAATTTTTTTCAAGATTAATTTTAATATGAATATCGCGCGTTCAAATATTTATGCGCAACTTGTTCACGCGAAATATACATCAATATTTAAAACATTGTTCTATAATATCAATAAAATAATTTTTCAAAATATTCAATTTTATACTTCTTAAGCTCTATTTCTATGTTTCATTAATGATTAAAACGCACCCACTATTTTGAGCTATGTTATACGTCAGTATTTGAGGTTATGTTGTAGGATAGTAGTTTAGGTTATGCTGATCGCTGATACATGCTGCAACCATATCAATTGGTAACGAAGAAACACAAAATTACATCCAGCTGTATTTATTATTTTTATTTTTACATTTTAAAATAGCACAATGAATTCTAACAAAGCAAGATTATCGAAAAGTATACTGGAAATGAAAGTAAATTAAGAAGTTTTTTAAGTTATGTATAAACCACTCCTTTTTCTTTTAAGTAACGAATTGTTTTTTTAGTTTATGAAACGTACAAAAGAAAAGGTCGAAAAACAACAATTCCAAGAAGAAGGAGAAGAATATTTTGGAAATGCCCTGACGAAGCGTATGATGAAAGATTCGTAAGTTTCTTACTAATTTGTTCATGACTCGTCTATTAAAATTTGAGTGGTTTATTTTTTCATTTTAGAGAAAGATTCATCATAGAGCCTAGTTATATCATTTGTGAGAAATTAATCGATGGCAGAGTAAGTTACCAAGGAATGAATCCTGAGATTGAAAAGTTAATGGAATATGAGGTAGCCAAAGAACGTGCTGCAATGGAATTGAAAAATGAAACTGATATCTCAGATGAACAAATGGTAAAACATTGGAAAGGCTTTAAAAAACAAAGATCTAAACATAAATACGAAAATGAGTCGCAAAAAGACAGTATTAAATCCCTTCAACCAAAAACAAAAAAGCCAAAATTTATGAAACCACAAGACTAATACGAAATAGTAATAGTTTGTACATATGTGAACATTAGGTTTTAAGGTCTTTTATAAATCTGTTATTTAATGTAGATAACATTTATGAATCCTTTTTATCAATTGTCACGTTATATTTATCACACAAATTTTTAAAAGTTAGCACTGATAAGTTCTGTACGTTATACTCTTTTAATCCTTCTGTCCAAAGTAAATTGAAACTGTCATCAGTAAAATGAACACCTATATTTGTAAATATAGTTCTTATCTCTTCTTTATCATGTGGCTATAAAAAGTAATTGGAATAGTTATTATTTCCCACATTGTTTATATGTGTTTATACATACTTTGGTAAGGTCGTTACGGTCCAGACCATATCTGGTAAAGACAGATGGGAAGATGAGATCATAAGCTGTAGTTCTGTCATCTTTCAAAGTTTTGTGCAGAACTTCCTCTGAAAGGAATAATATAGTAATAAAATATAATTTAATAAAATAGTCTTTACACTAACTTGTAGTATCTGTTTCTTTTATGTTTCCAATCACGTCCTTATACGCAGTATGATAACATTGACACTCTAAAGGAACACCTAACAAAATAATGGAAGATAATGATAGTTTGTATCTTCTTATGGATTTTTTTGAAAATTTATTAAAATGCATTACTCTTGATTTTTGGTAATGTTGGAAAGATGTATTTCCAATTTAAGAGATTCAGTAGTTCTGTGTAATTAACATTTTTCTCTTTACGTATTGAAAGGAGATCCAATAGTGGTGTAAACTGTACTTTGTTTATGTACATTTTATATTTCATTAATGTAGAGAAGACTGTGTCTTCTGGTAGTATTCCTGTGTAGTCCTATGAAGGTATATATTTATTTTTAAACATTTTTAATCATCATAAATATTACTTGATCAAGATTGGCCAGCTCTTCTTGAATATCCAGAAACGGAATTTCTGGGAATTGTTTTTTATACTTCCGACGCAAACCATTGATATATTGCAAATATTTCTTCTCTTCCACAACAACATTATTAATAGGATAGTCGGATAGGATATTCGTTTGAACCCTTTTAATTGCCTTTCCATGTACCATGTCCATAAATATATCTGCTTGTTTATAATTTCTAAAGACATCAATATTTAAATTGTCCTGCAACAATTTATTTATTTTAAACATGTATTACCTTACTTCTCCAACACGAGAACACGTCCGTTCCTTAAAATCAGCTAGAATGGAATTAACAAGTGTAGAAGGATTGGAATTAATCCATGTTAGCCGTTTTTTAACTCTTGTGCCCTCAACATCTGCATTATTATATTTTCCAAAGCAAGAAGCTTGATTGAATGGTTCCTTATAACTGCAAGTATAATTTGCGCAGTAGTATAGGCATATAAAAAATGATTTATTCTGTTATTCCTTACTTTCTTCTAATTTGCTCTGCAGGCAGGTAGCTGTTATGGCTTTTTTTATACATATCAAGTATATCTGGCTTCAAAATATCCATTTGATTCGTTTTTGCCTGAAGTAATTCATTCATGGTTGTCTCTAATTCATGGGATGTATAAAGATGTTATCAAAACTGTGTTCTATAATGATTTAATTGCAGGTTTTAGCTTTGTACCAGATCTAATTTTCTTTCCGAAGACTGTTTCCCATGGATTCATGCCAATTGGAAGATTCGGAGTTTGATAAGGTGTTTTGCCAACTTCTTTATTCCAGTAGCTATTCATCACAGTATTTCTTAACTCTGAAATTATGGTTTGGAACTGTGTTTCTTGGTCTGCTTGCATACATTCCTTTACCTAAAATTATATTTCACTATATATTATTTCTTCATGACACTGTATTATATGAATTTGTCTCGATAATAGTAATTATCTTACACCGATAGTAGTTTTAGGCGCGCTACTATGCACTGGCGCGTCTTCTGCATGTTTTTCATTGTAGTCAATCATGCATTTCAAAGCTGCAACTTTGTCTTCCAGAGAATAGTCAATGAAACATTCTCTAATATCGGACTTTTTATATTTGATCTGTAGAAATATGATAAAAAGAAATTAAATCTCCACTAATAATGTTTTTGAATATAACTTAATGTAAAGCATATTTTTTCTTACCGTTTTTTCAATCGCGCAGCTTTCAGTTTCTTGAGATCTGTTAAAACATTCATTTTCTATTTTTTTACATAATTCTTCCATCTTTTATACGAAATACCAAATTTATTAACATTAATAATACGACGAAATTGTGAAAGACAAAACGTAGTTGCATGATTTCACATTCTTGTTTCGCGTTTCGACTATTATCATTTAAATTCAAATGTAAATTCAATTATCGATGCTTCAGCCGCGCATGTGCATCAGACATCATGCAAATTATGGGTTGTGTTCTGTGACACCGTGTATGTACGAATTTATACTGTAAAGCAGTAAAGTTTACAGGACATTTACAAACAACAGTATTATTAGTAGAAACATAATTTATTGTATGCGACAGTAATAATGGCGGTCAAACAAAATACAAAACGATCGAAATGGGCCTTGGACTTTGCTCACAAGTTAGTAACCTGTTTCATCTTATATTTTTAAGATTTAAATTTGATTTAGTTAATTTTTATAAATCATTCATAAATTTAAAACAAACATTAACAAGCTATTCATCTCGACTATTTAATCTATAGTTAAAAGTTATATAGGCTAGGTTTCATACGAACACAAATTTGTCACATTCACACTGATTCAGTCGAATGAATTTTGCTGACTTTTTATATTCGATTCAATTTCATTGCTTTTTTTATAATATTATCATGCAAATTGTACAAATTAAAATGCATTATCTTTACGAACCGATAGTGACATGTTAGAAAATCCAGAATATACCTAATGCAATTTTAACGTTTTTATGTGATATTGTACAAAATGAATATGGAGTTCCTAATCTCTGAAATTACTCTAATTATTTGATGTTTTTAGAAGTAAACAAGACAAAAATGCAGATATCCCTGCACCTCCAGGCTATACGCCGGCAGTTGCATTGTTTCATGCTGCAGAATCAATTCGGGAGACGGATTCGAATCATTTGATCATGAAAAAGTCATGGGACCTGGCATTGGGTCCTCTCAAACAAGTTCCAATGAATTTATTTATAATGTACATGGCTGGTAACTCTATAGCAATATTTCCAATCATGATGGTCGGTATGCTGATAATTAGGCCAGTGAAAGCACTGTTCACTCTCCAACAAAGTAAATATCACAATTGGACATCGATATTCTGAAGTAATAGTTAAATTACTTTCTGTATATTATCTTTTTATTTTTCTTCCAGCATTTAAAGTCATCGAGGGAACTCATGCTTTCGGTCAAAAATTTGTCTACTTCCTCGGTCAGCTTGTGAACATGGCACTAGCACTGTACAAGTGTCAATCAATGGGTCTGCTCCCAACACATGCCTCTGACTGGCTAGCATTCGTGGAGCCACCGGCTCGGCTGGAATACTCCGGTGGTGGATTTATATATGTATGATACGAGCAAGTCTTGTAAACATAGGTATATTGTACCATGACCATGAATTACAGTTCCACATGTCTCATAAAAATGTTTTATTAAAATAAATTTGTTACATACTTAAGTACCTAACTTGTTTAACATTCTTACTGCAAAGTAAACACAATGTACATTTTCAGCTGAGCTATTTCTTTTTGTATTCATCCGTTATTTCCTTTATCCGTTGAATGATTTTGGAGGGGTCATCCACACGGGGTATCTTGAAAAATTATTATTTATTTCAATAAATGTGAATGATTGAATCACCGAATGTCTGTTATATTAACAAATTACATACCTCGTAGTTTTGGCTGATGTACATGCCAGCATACACGCCCAAAGCAAAACTAACCTAAATGAAAATATAATGATTCAATATTTTCTTATATTCAAAATATAACTGTAAAGGTGGCTATTAAAACATAGTAAACATACCAAACCTTTGAACATTTTTCTAATAGTTGTTTGCTTAGCGATATTTAATGACAATTTAATGATCTTTTAGATCATAGGTCTAGATATTGATTTTCGAATGACGATACGGGTTTTAATAGATTTCTCATTTTACGCAGCATCAATCACTGATATATCATATACTATCATATGATTAAATTGTTTACCGCTGTAGAGAAGTTATTTACAAGAATTTCTTGCTCCGATTAATTATCGATAGCTACTTTTTTATAACTAGGTTTTACGTAAAAAATAGCTTCACATTAAAATGCAGCTGCATCTGCAAAAATGCGATTTACTGCAGTTCTATGTGAGAATTGCACGCCTTCGACAGAACAAACTCGTCACTGTGCGCAGGATATAAAGTGCGCATGCACTAGGGGGGAATTTTAAATATTAATGATTTAAATTTAAATTCTTTCAGTAATTATTTTAATTTTTTAACAGCAAATTATAGTATTGTTAATTGTTCAATTATGAAGAATGTATTTAATGATAACATTATAAATATATTATAAATTGTATATTTGCGTATTTTAACTACTGTTTAATGTTTCTGTAATTATAAGGAGATATTATTTAATTGGTTACGAAACTTTTTTATCAGTTCTTGGGAAATTAATATTAACTATCGTTTATTACAATGAAACGTGAAATAATGTTTCAGAAATTTATTTGATTCACGATGCCCTATTAACACTTAAGCTAGCAGGCTTTTATGTACCGGAAATAATTGCCGGAGAAAGCAGGACAGAGATCAACAATAAGATTTTCTGAACGCACAGTGTCCTCCTTTATCGCGGTAGTCCCGAATGCTTCCGTTAATTTTGGTAGCAAACGAAAGTTGATAGAAGAAGATATAATTGAGATCAGACGATAAGTTAATTAAATGCGACATCTATTAGCTTAAGTAAATTAACTTAAATAAATAATTGAAATGCATTAAATTAAATTGAACGATTAAAAACGATCGACTTAAACAACACTTTTTAAAGTAAAGTTTAATGTTTCTTATCGGACCTTTTGAAAAACTAGTAAAATATAAATGAGTAACAAAAATTGTTGAATGACGAGGATGGAAATGTACACTGAGTATATCGAGTTTAAAGGTACTCGAAGCTCTCAATTATATTCTTCGGACGATATTAAAGCGTCAGTTTTAGTGGATGTAAACCTCTAAAACTAACATACGTATATGGCTTTTCTTCTATGTGTGGGTTGTCATAGTGTGCGGCCTGCCTGCGGGTTAACGGTATCGTTGAGATTTCATTGAGCGGTTAAGAAAAAGAGAGTAATCCACGGTGCTCGCGAACGGATGCACGTTTATACAAAGAAAACTGGATAAACTTTTTCGTTAACTAATTTCTACCGATAGATTCACTTCAGATTTTCATTCAATTCTGACGACCATATTTTATGCCATTATCGCTTTAAATATTGTTTAAACAAATTTAAAGGTTCACAATATTGCAAGAAACTGTATCGCCCTGTTCAATGAAATCTATAGGATCGACCCTAGTTAAAAACATTTTCAGAATTTTTACAGATAAAGTGCAATAAATTCGGAAAGCAAAAATGCAACAAAATTGGTGTGGCTTACGGTGTCTCGCTCCTTTCAAATATTATTTAAACAATCTTAGAGGTTTATAAAATTGTAAAAATGTATGCCATCGTATTCAGCACAGTCCATATTAGAATCATTCTACACATAGACCATTCGCACAGCCTCCGGTTAGCGTGAAAAAAATTTACGAAGTTGTTTTCACGTTGCTGTCAAGCTGATTGAAAAAGAAGACATTGAATTGGCTGGAAATTCCAGGCAGAGATTTCGACTATAGCAGTTCCGTCGATGGACTGAAGAGGAGAATTTGGTCGGGGACAAGTAAAAAACTGTTTCCCGAGCACCGGTATCCCGATGGAGGGAGATCGGCTTGCATGATCGGCCTAGCAAACTCGGTTCTGGTAGGTATTCCGCTTTGGTACGCGGGCTACCCAACGTCTACAGAGCAGTGTACTTGGCCGGTCGCACACGTGGGCATCGCCTTTCGAACGGCTTTTTTTCGCCACCAATTTCTCCCGCGAAAGTTCCTCCGGTCGTTCGAAAAGAGACATTTGTTTAAACAAAAAGGACTTTGCTTCCTTTTGCCGGCAGCAGTTCTAATTTATTGCTGCCCCCGAAATAGGTGATAAGTGAGTTCATGTGTATAAACAAGTGAAACTCTCCAGGTGCTGTAACTCTGTCGCATTTTGTCACACGTTGGTGTACATCTTTTTCTTCTGCTGCATTCACAAGTGCGATTTAATGAGTGCTACAGTTGCTAACGAGGAAATCGTCTAATCATGTCACCTACCATCTCAAAGATATTGACTGGTAACAGGAGCAACGTGAATTGCGAGAAAAATCGTGTAAGTATCACTGAAACAAAAGAAATAGATTTATTTTACATTTTAGAAAATAATTTGATTGTATCTCGGTGTGAAGCTAGCTTTATTTTTGATTTNCCTGCCTGCGGGTTAACGGTATCGTTGAGATTTCATTGAGCGGTTAAGAAAAAGAGAGTAATCCACGGTGCTCGCGAACGGATGCACGTTTATACAAAGAAAACTGGATAAACTTTTTCGTTAACTAATTTCTACCGATAGATTCACTTCAGATTTTCATTCAATTCTGACGACCATATTTTATGCCATTATCGCTTTAAATATTGTTTAAACAAATTTAAAGGTTCACAATATTGCAAGAAACTGTATCGCCCTGTTCAATGAAATCTATAGGATCGACCCTAGTTAAAAACATTTTCAGAATTTTTACAGATAAAGTGCAATAAATTCGGAAAGCAAAAATGCAACAAAATTGGTGTGGCTTACGGTGTCTCGCTCCTTTCAAATATTATTTAAACAATCTTAGAGGTTTATAAAATTGTAAAAATGTATGCCATCGTATTCAGCACAGTCCATATTAGAATCATTCTACACATAGACCATTCGCACAGCCTCCGGTTAGCGTGAAAAAAATTTACGAAGTTGTTTTCACGTTGCTGTCAAGCTGATTGAAAAAGAAGACATTGAATTGGCTGGAAATTCCAGGCAGAGATTTCGACTATAGCAGTTCCGTCGATGGACTGAAGAGGAGAATTTGGTCGGGGACAAGTAAAAAACTGTTTCCCGAGCACCGGTATCCCGATGGAGGGAGATCGGCTTGCATGATCGGCCTAGCAAACTCGGTTCTGGTAGGTATTCCGCTTTGGTACGCGGGCTACCCAACGTCTACAGAGCAGTGTACTTGGCCGGTCGCACACGTGGGCATCGCCTTTCGAACGGCTTTTTTTCGCCACCAATTTCTCCCGCGAAAGTTCCTCCGGTCGTTCGAAAAGAGACATTTGTTTAAACAAAAAGGACTTTGCTTCCTTTTGCCGGCAGCAGTTCTAATTTATTGCTGCCCCCGAAATAGGTGATAAGTGAGTTCATGTGTATAAACAAGTGAAACTCTCCAGGTGCTGTAACTCTGTCGCATTTTGTCACACGTTGGTGTACATCTTTTTCTTCTGCTGCATTCACAAGTGCGATTTAATGAGTGCTACAGTTGCTAACGAGGAAATCGTCTAATCATGTCACCTACCATCTCAAAGATATTGACTGGTAACAGGAGCAACGTGAATTGCGAGAAAAATCGTGTAAGTATCACTGAAACAAAAGAAATAGATTTATTTTACATTTTAGAAAATAATTTGATTGTATCTCGGTGTGAAGCTAGCTTTATTTTTGATTTTATGATTTATTAAACTAAAGGTTGACACAGTCAACGCGGTAAATGATTTTTTTGTTAAATATTACTTGTATCGAAAAGTCAAGTTATTAAAACTATTATATTTTGAAGCTTGAACAAAATTGTTTTTGATTTATATAACCTTTTGAAACTTAAGAAAAATTATCTCTGTGTTTTAATTATATATTGAAATGTAATGAAAATTGTTTATGAATCGTATTATATTTTAAAACTGAAGGAAAATGATTCATAAGATAATTAATAAGAATTTGTTTTAACATAAAATAATTTTTCTTAAACGGGACATCTATGTTCGACAAATAAAACAAGATGCAACAATACAAGATTGAATAATTTAAAACTGATTTCTTCCTGTGCTTATTTATTTTTGGAATCTGCAAAGCAATATTTTTTTAATTGATTTGATTTCGAGTCGTTTCGGTCTTCATTAAATTATATCGACATCCTTTCCGGTCGGCTGACGAATAAATTCAACAAAATGAATCCGGCGAGGTGTATTAACCGTGTCATTTCCGTTATTTGATTGTAAATTATGATCCCGTGAATAGTAAATAACCATGGTTGAAGAACGGTAGGTTATCCCCACCATAAACTGTCATAAACTCTGCTTTTCCTTCGATTGCGATCGAGCGATAGTCTTTTAGAACATCCAGCAAAGGTAAGAACAATTCCATTATCCAATCTAAAACATAATTCGCCACTATTTAATATAGTAATGCATTTTTTTCGTGTTGTTAACGAATTGTCCATGCCGCGACGATGATAGCAATAAAAACGTGTGAAATATTTTGCCGACTTTAGGATACTTTAGTTTTGAAAGTTTCAGAAAAGGAACCGGATTTGCTATTTTCTGCAGGATTATCCTTTCTCTCGGAAGAATTTGTTCTCTAAAAATGAAAGGCAAGACCGTTTATTTCCAGTTTTTCTGCCGACCAATGTGCTGCAGGAGTATCAAGGTCATCGTGCTTCATCGTTCTCTTAGCTGCGAGTTTTTTTTTTAAATTTTCTTGAAAAAATATTTATTACATTAATTAAATGTTAAATTAAGTAATTAAATTGTTACGCAGACGTTGAGAGAAAACTTAATGACCTACTTTGCAATATATATTTCGATATTAAATAAATGAGGAATTAGTGGTCAAATGGGTTGACGATGTTATAAAGCATGTGCGTAATAAGTCTGGGGATAAATCGTTTACCTCGCCAAATCACTTAGTGCAACACAGTTTAGAGACTGCATCGTAGAATTTTCTTATTTCCATGTAAAAAACTACTTGAATACTTATATAACCGTGGAAAACGTAATGGGCAGCCGGGTTGCAGAAATCCAATTGCGTGCACATGCCCAATTACCATTTTGCTATCCTGATGCAATTCTGTAGTCATACAAAAATTATATTAGTACGAATCTACTGTAATTTTTGTTTCTAAATTATCTGGATAAATTTTAACCAGAACAATTCGTCAAGCTTCAAATCGATTAAAAATGAAAATTGTAAACAGTTGTTGTTGTTTCATTACCTGAAGAATTTGTAATTAATTATGATAATTTAATGATTTATGATTAGAGCTGTATCTGAGGATAAAAAAAGGATTGAAAGAGCAAGAGAGAGAGAGAGAGAGAGAGAGAGAGAGAGAGAGAGAGAGAGAGGGGAATGAACTCTAAGAAGTCCAGATAAATGTTGCAGAATGGACAATAATTACATATATTAGAGTGCGTTACTCCTGCGTGGTTACGTCGACTGCAATAGAAAGTGTGCAACAGCCCGTGGTTCTTAGATTCTGTGTTGTTATGTGGACCGTCGTATTGCAGCGCCGATGGTCATTGAACGGTTTCCGCTAGCCGTTGCCTTTTAATAGTAAACCATTCACTTATCTCCAGACATGACTATCCAATCAGTCTTTCTTGGCACCTGCAACACACCGATTCATCAATGCAAAATATAGTATTAAAAACAAATGCTGAATCAATGTAATATACTATTGATATTGTATTTCAATATCACGTTTTATATTTTAATATTGTACACATTGTATAATATAATATTATTGTAATTTAATAATATACAGGATGAACCAATAAGCTCGCACAGACCAAATTTTTGTCAAGGTCACCGTTTCCNTTTATGATTAGAGCTGTATCTGAGGATAAAAAAAGGATTGAAAGAGCAAGAGAGAGAGAGAGAGAGAGAGAGAGAGAGAGAGGGGAATGAACTCTAAGAAGTCCAGATAAATGTTGCAGAATGGACAATAATTACATATATTAGAGTGCGTTACTCCTGCGTGGTTACGTCGACTGCAATAGAAAGTGTGCAACAGCCCGTGGTTCTTAGATTCTGTGTTGTTATGTGGACCGTCGTATTGCAGCGCCGATGGTCATTGAACGGTTTCCGCTAGCCGTTGCCTTTTAATAGTAAACCATTCACTTATCTCCAGACATGACTATCCAATCAGTCTTTCTTGGCACCTGCAACACACCGATTCATCAATGCAAAATATAGTATTAAAAACAAATGCTGAATCAATGTAATATACTATTGATATTGTATTTCAATATCACGTTTTATATTTTAATATTGTACACATTGTATAATATAATATTATTGTAATTTAATAATATACAGGATGAACCAATAAGCTCGCACAGACCAAATTTTTGTCAAGGTCACCGTTTCCGAGATTTCAAGGACTCCATGTTACCATTAAGTTATAGCCATGATCAAGACGAATGAAATGACCGATAATATTGTGACCTCATTATAATCTTGTACGAAGTTTTGAAGAATTTGTGAAATTGTTGTGCGACCCTAAAAAGGATAAAAATAATAAATTAAAAAGTCGGTTGACGGTGTGTTTCTCTCTTGACAAATTGTCTCTCTCTGAAAATCGAAATTATAGATATATTAATTCCTGTATTACCGTCAGAGATTATTCGAATAGAGAATAAAAGATGTTATTTCGAACGGCAAAATCTATAAATACCCCGATAAAAATCATAACGTTAAAAACAGTTCTTGTAACGGTATGCGATTCTTCACTGTAACTGGGGCATATTAACTGGTTTTACTGCAGTTCCTTTTTCTTATGGATCTTCATGGTGGTATTTTAATGAGATCTCGTAATCCACTAGTAAGAAATTGAGAATTTTCTAGAAATAAAAATAATTTCGTGTTATGCGTATGTATTCGATGACATGCGAGTTTGTATTAACTATTCTTTATGATACTGGTCAGTTAAGCTGAATACTTAAGTAATTAAGGTCATGATCCATCCACGCAATCAATGACTTTGGGTTTCACCGTTTTGATTAACAAATGAACATGTAGAGCGTATTCTACAGAGCTGTTAAAAAATTTCATTTGAATCTTCAGGAAGCGAACGAAGACCCCACTTTCCTTTACATGCAATAATTATGGCATTTTCCATTTTCAATTGCATTGTTAGTACAATGTTCATTGACCTGATCTACTTTTGTATTTCCTACAGTCGCGCGCCAAAATTTAAGCAAGCAACAAATGTAGGTTAAATTCTTGATTTTTTCTGTAACAAAAGATTAGTAATTAGTTAGACACCTGGTTAGAAGATTCCGTTTTACTTTTGCCACTCTATCGAAATAGTTCATTATAAATAAATCAGATTTACTTTTGTAAACGAAAGCTCAAAATATTTAACTAATTTATGAAAAGAGAAATGAAATAGAAATATGTTGCTTTGATAAAACGATTTGGCTGAGACTACTGTTGTTACAAAAATGGAACTACATTTACCTTAATTGGGGAATTATGCGAATTTACAGGGAATCATTGTTAAATGTTTTGATACATATTCCGTATAAAATTGTACAATGGTTCAAGAAGCTTCCGAATTCTTCCACACGGTAGCAGTGACATAGACTTATTGATTTAAAGTCCATTTTCGGATGTGATCGCGAAAAACCACGATCTGTGTTGCGGAAGGCTCGATTATGAAATAAGTATCGCAATCAATCAGTTCGATGAGGATTCGAACGCTTTTAAAAATAGCGAAGTGATTTTAACATATGGTTGACACACTTGTATCGCAACCACGAGACTGAAAAGAGTCCTGCAAAAATGTGTCCTAGCACCATACATAACCGTTAACCGAGGCCATAAATATCTTTTCGGGGTGAGTAGCACGATTATGAGAAGAAATCTCATATAAACGGTAATCACGTCAAACCGAATTAATCATTAACACGCAAACAACTTTGATTGTTATATACTTGATATTTTTATAACGATTGAATTTTACGAGATCTAAATTGAAATTTCGTAAGAAATGTATTTGAAAATATATTTGGTTTTGTTTGTTTATATGCTAGTTTAGGACAGAGATTCATCTTCAGAATTCTTTTAAATTTATCTTTAAAGAGATTTCGTTTACCGACCGTTAGTAATCGTTGCTGCGTGTTTTAGTTCTTGGTCCTAGGCGCTTCAATCGAATTTCAAAAAGTATCGTACTTCGAACAATCGTTGGAAAAACATTCAGGGACTCAATTTTACCGTTTTTAAATCAAATATTGTAAAAATACCGATCCCTTGTGGCCACGTATTATGTTCATAATCTCAAATCTACTAAATGTTTCAGTTCGACAAACTAAACGAAAATATAATGGGTATTATAACCGTACGAAATTTGAAATATTGCAATTTCATGTTCGATCTCCAAGGTAAATTAAGAGGGTCTACAGAAATCGCATTAGTTCTAGTTAGAACGCATTTTGCAAGAGAAACTGTAAGAGAAAGTAGAAAGTGACGAATTAGCTAGCACACATTGTGAGCAATATTGAAAATTTGTATTTGCAACAATATTTGGACGATATAGTTGTCTCGCGAGGTGTTCTAATTAACACGAACTCAACATATATGTACATAACACTAAAATGAGATCAATTTTAGTTTTTTTCAAAACGGAATTAGTTAACTGTAACAATTATGTAAATTCATGTAGAAGAGGCACACCTGATCGAATCAACAATGTACAGTACCAGCAAAAAGTGTGCCGATGTCTGTTATGAACAATATAGGAGAGCACCGATCTGTCTAATACTTTTCTCTGTAAAATAACATTATTTTCTTTCGTTGACGTTTAGAACTATCGAGCACCGAAGGTAAGGTTTCTAAGATGATTCATAAAGATTCTAGAAATTGAAACTACAGTTGATTCTCATTATAAATAACTTATGAAACAGTTTTCTACAAAGGACATCTTTACAGATTCGATAATCGTGAAATAAACAGTTTGGAACGGACCGTCGTTGACTCCTCTAGTAATAGTAGTGTTAAGTATTAAGTTCTTACACACTTTTGATCTGTAGTGTACCAATCAAATACTGATCGAACAATCCAGACGCTCGAATACCCTGTCTGGAGGTATCATTTGCGGCAGATGTCCCAGACGTTACATAACGCGCAGAGATATACAATGCGAATATCACAGCATCAACAAAATACACAGCATTATGTTGACCGTTGGTCCCGTTGCTACCTGAACGGTACGCGAACGCAGTAGCCTAGTTTCTTCGACCGGTGCATCACGCGATCGCCTAACGAAACCGATTCTCGAAAGTAGCACGGTAACTTAGCTCCGGAGATAGCCAGATGAGCAGACAGGGTGAAAAAGAGAGAAAGACGGATGGTGTGCCGGTAGAGCGGTGCGAAAATTCTGGATCCTGGATTTAAACAGCCTCCTCTCGTCGTACCTCGACTAGAATCCTCCGTTAACACATTGAATGCCACGCCGGTTTTACAGAAATTGTCCGTGGCGCCACGATGAATTTTCTTTTATGCGATACATATAATGTTGAAATATTATTTGCAACAGATAAGTCACAGTGTACAACCATGTTTGACATGTTAATTGCGACAGGGGCCACTGTTTGAATTGACGATGGTAATAATACCAAATTTTAGATATTGACATTTGTTTGAAACTCTATATATTTCTATCAATTTGGGCGCGCCGGTCACCGGTGACCCCCGTGGCATTCAACGTGTTAAAAACGCAGAGAAAACGGTGCCACACGATCCGCGCATTTTAACGATCGGGTTTCCCGATAGATCTTCGAGATGCTGTTGGAAAAAGTCGGGGGGAGGGGTGGATGTTTAAGTCATCAAATTGAAAAAGAGTATTCTAAGAAACGGTGCGAATCATCTTCTACATATGTATGTATACGAGACACATTTGTTTCAGGACGTAGAGAAGGGTGAAGTCCAAACCGACGCGGCAGGCCTCCCATCGTCGAACTGTTCACGGCCGACGTCTTCGTCGCGTACGTCGACGTCGGCCGAGAGCAGGGTCGAGCCGGAGGACCAATTCAGAGTCGAACCTAATGTGACCAGCGTAGAAGTGGAAGTGGAAGTCAGCCCGAACAATGAACCGGCGATAAGTATGTAACGGAGAGGAGAGAAACGGATAGGCAAAGTGTGCGATAGAGAGAGAGGGAGAGAGAGAAAGAGAGGGACCCTGTACGGTCGTCTTGCCTGCAGGAGCGGGGACAGAGACGACAACAATAGCTAAGACGAGGCCGCGGACGGGAACAGGAACGGAAACCCGCCGCGGCGAGTCCAGTCGGTGGAAGGCAGTCGGCCGCCTGCTTCGCCGCTTGGCGCTCATCATGTTTCTGCTGGCGAGTATAATCGCGTGCATCACGCTGCTCGCGATTTACGCGGGTCCCATCTCCATCATCCAGCTCCTCGTTGTCATCCTCGTAGCCTATCTCGTCTCCGGGGGACGATTCCGGTGGTTCTACGTCGCGTTCAAAACCCTGCCGAGGGACACAAAGTGAGTAGATCATTTTTCTTGTTCTCTTCGCGACTTAAATGGCATATTCGCTCGTCATCCGTGACCTTTGGGAACCTCGTGCCGCGGAGGAAGTCAGTCAAGCCGAGTTCACTATCTCGGTCCTCTCTGGGTTATACTGGGTTTGCCGAATGTAACGGCTTTATCGGTCCCCGATGATCGCAATTCCAAGAATGTTTGTAATCGAAGAGAGACACGTTGGAAGCTGTGATAGATGTTCATCGTAGATGCAGGAGTTGTACGGCTAGGATGGACGACTGTTAGGACGTGACGTGTCTCGAGTTTCTTCCTTGGATGTACGCGACTTTTAACGGTGGCTGTGAATTTCATGGGAGGGATGAATCCTTCGATCACCGATGCATTTTTATAGCTGAGAAATTTTTGGTTTTATCCAACACACATATACACACACCTCTCTCTCATGTTTTAAATTATTTTCTTAAATTGTGATTTATTTTGATCAGGGTTGGCGATTGGAAATATTTTCGAAATCGACTGTAACAGAAAATTGAATTTTAGTTAGGATATTTAGCTGTTGCGTTATTGGATGTCGTATTCGTTAATGACATTTTAAAAGGCTACGAACGCATATTGAAATGGGATGCATTTAATGCGCGTGATAATAGATGCGACTATGGGACAGTAAACATCGAGCAGGCAGAATTAATACTCGTTAGGAAACTTCGTGGATGATTTTCCTGGTTTGTAATTATTCTAAAAAATTTCCAGAACGGATACAAACGACAACTATATATTGCGGCATTGTAATTTTGACTTAATTGAGTAAGTCAAGATTTTCTTACCGAATCGATAGAATGAAACATTTGAGTAAAAATTGATTTAATTGCAGCTCCAATATCAAGTACCCGGTATCCAGTATCCAGAATCCAAAGTTCCAGACTCCGATATCCAAAAAGAATCCCATAATCCATTATTTGGAGCTCCGAATGTATTAAAAAATATTCATCAAATGCAACAGTTGCATAAGGATAAGGTACCCATTTTTCAATTTCTTTGAACAATTATGACCATTGAAACTACATCCACCTTTTTGCACTGAGACTTGGGAAATATGTTGATCAATATATTAAAATTATTCGAGCAAAATAGTAAGTAAAAAAATAGTCAGTAAAGTAAAAAAATTCCTTGTATCTTATTAAATTTATTAAAGGAGATTAACGTTTATTTATGGTGATTTAGGGAACTATAAAACCGTGAACCTGCACCGAAGTTTACCTAAACAAGACAAAAAATTATCAACATTCGCGCGTGTCAGATATTTACATTTGCTTTATATTAATTTCATGTCTCTGACATAAAGTTTATGAAATTAACATTTAACATTTCATAATTTTAGGAGTTTCAACGGGAAGTTCAACGCGTTCGCATTCCTTTAACTTGGGCACATATAGATATAGGTAAATCAGATCTGAATGGAATTTAACAAATCGAATATTATAGCAACTAATATTTGCAATTATATCTGTTGGAGACAACTCGAGATTTTCCAAAATTCGTGATAGGATTTAGAATATACGAAAATATATTCATGATAAATTAATACTGATCTAAACAGTTAAGGTTATTGCAATCTCATCATCGACGTCAAAATTTTTAAACGAAACATAAAGTCGAGGATATAAGTCGCATCTTAATTAAGATCGATTTATGATTACATTTCAGAATTATCTTTGATGTTATTAATTATGATTGATCGTGAAATATTGATGGCAATATCGATCAGAATCTCGCTACAAAATATCGTGCAATGCGGTTTATATTATTACGTAACGCGGGTATTATTTACGGTCGCTGTGATAAGCTTGATTTCTGTTACCTGGATCCTTTTCTGCGGTGCACTAGCGGCTTCCTGTTGGTAATTTTTCAGTCATCATATTTTTATTAACTCGTTCATTTTTAATTATACAGGGCGTTCCCCTCGATCACTATTCACAATGAAAAGAAATATCGTAGGAATTCAAGGTCGTCAATGTCATGTAATAGCCAAGGTCGAAACTAATTCATTGACCTTTAAAACTGTAACCTTTGCGCAACCTTCAGTACCAAAAATAATATTGAAGCTGTATGAACAAATTCAATGTGAAATATTTAGTGTACGAAAGAAATCTCTTATTTTATTTCAATATTTACTTCTTAATGAAATATATAAAATATCCGCGAGATGTTTCAGAGAGTTAATAAAAAAAAAAAATATAATAAACACAGATGCATTTGAAATGAAAGTTTAGTGTGCTCAAGCTGTCCAAATAGCGCATACGTCTTGTGGTCTCAAATGTCTCGGCTCTGTAGTGTTAGGAACAATATTTGCGCATTAAAATCGCGATAATCTGTTTACAGTCCCATCCTACGCTAATATCGCCGCCCTAAGTAAAGATACGGCTGTAAATACAGAAAATGAATGGATAATGTTACACAGTTCTACGCACACTGTTTCTCAAAACCATTAGATAACATAGAAAAATGGTAAAGTCGGAGAGTCGATCTAAAGGTACCAAATAATCAAACGAAACTTCTTAAAAAATATTATTAATTGCAAATTTTTGTAGGAGAAACAGTAACCGTTTTGGAGGATTCCATTAATTTAATAATTTAATACACAAAAATGGACATTAATGGTTATTAAGTCGTAAAACCTAAATTTGATGGAGTATGAATCGTCTAAAACGATGTGCGCAGCACACAGATTTCTTCCATTGCCTTAACTGGTCTATTGAGTCAACTAAGTGCTCGAATTTCCTCTAAGATGTATGTACTCAGATGCATCTTGGTTTACAATTCGATTACTATTATTTGTGCTCCGACTGTTGAGCACCATTTTTCAAATTTTGTAATCAATACGAAAAAAAAAATAGATGAAAATAGGGTAACAACGAGAAATGAATAAAAAAGATGCTATCTAATTGATATGTTTAAAAGAGACAACACGGGAATGCAAAACATTCTATATAAATAAACATTCTAAACATCTAATCTTCTTTTTATTTCTAACTTTTATTACATTCTGCTGATGAGTGTAATATTGAAACTAAATGTGTTATGCTTAGGTAACAGGTTTTTATGTATTGACTATCCTTTCAGAATGCTATGTTTTTATTGTATGTACGTCTTTAATTATCTGCAATAAATGAATTGATTAGAAGCTAGTGTCACATGTAGCAAACAATTTTCATTATTTAATGAGACCATATATACTTGTGGCGTTAATCTTTTTCAAGTTTAATTAAAAATGTCGATTTTCGATAAATATTTACTTTTGGTAAATAAATTTTTAACCGGTGTGTCAAACATATTTTTCGCGTATCATTTATTGAAATTTCAGTAAAAGATATTCCCTCTTTTTATGAACAATGTTTATCTTATCGTCAGATTTCTTATCAATCAAAACACGTAAACAATATTAATCGGTTGGTAAGAGATCAAAGGACAAAAAAGCAACAGTATCTTCTGCTTATTTCAGAGCCTTGTTTGGGTATCTCAAAATTTTGCTCACTATACGTGGCCATGCGAGGAAGGATAGGATCGTCGCTGACGTGTTCCGAGAATGTGTCAAGCGACATCCAAACAAAATTTGCTTTATCTACGAAGATGAAGAATGGACTTTCCAACAGGTGAGATTCAACACTGGTCACAAAATATTTTTCTTATTATTTTTCCTTGTATTCTTTACATCACATGGTAAAGTTAAGTCAAAATAATTAGAGGAACTTCAACCTACTCAAAAAGTATGTTACGTATTCTATACTGTAGAGTCTATAGTATCAACATTTTATATTTCAATTAAAGGTTGCAATAAACGATACTCTAAATATTTTGACGTTTTAAGAAATGCGCTAGACCAGCAGTTATTTCTGGCCCTGAAGTTTCTAACTATTTCCAGGTAGAGGACTACAGTAATAAAATTGCCGCCATCTTTAAGAACCATGGCTACCGTAGGGGTGACCTTGTTGGTCTACTTTTGGAGAATCGGCCAGAATACGTCGCAATTTGGCTGGGACTGAGCAAACTAGGAATAATAGTACCACTAATCAACATCAATCTTCGGAAAACTTCTCTTCTGCACAGTATAAATATTGCTGAATGTCAAGCGCTTATTTATGGTGCAGACTTTGTTGATGGTAAGAATCTTGGGAATGAAATTAAGTGCATAAGAATCTGTTGTAAATGCATAAAGCACTGTACTGTAAATGCACTAGAGATACGTACTTTGGTATGTATGTGATAGCCACAGCATGCAATTCGAAATTAGTAAATTAAGTAATTGTGAAAGATTCGGCCACGCACTGATGCGAATAGCGTGTGCACAATAAGTGCACGCAAACCCACGGTTAATATAGCACACTGGAAAGTATAGGAAATTTGTCTGCAAGCAGAACATTATGCAGTATTTAACAAACAGAGTTTCGAAAACTCGGGTATAAAGGTTTCAAGATTTCAAGATTTCATACCGCAATAAAAACTTGAATGATTACTGCTTTTTGCAAATAAATGTATACTGAGTGCTTATAAATATGTATGAGAAACATGTTTTTGCTTACTAGGAAATACTTACCAATATAATTGCTTTATTTGTCTCGGCTTCTTGTCACTAACCGATTCAAGAGCTTGGAATTAGTTTTAAACTCGAAAAATACAAAAATAAAATATCTGGAAGAAGAATATCTAAAAACTTTCACGTCCTTGGCAAGCTGATATTATTTTCAATTGTTCTACAACCTTCACACGGCCGAATAAACGATATTCGATTACCGTAGCGTGCGGCTCATTGATGCAATAATAGGAAATAGAACTAACTACTTTAGAATGGAAGAAAATTGGGTGTTCGGTTGCGTGTCTCCGTCGACTCATCATGAGGGCCATTTTATAAATGATTGCATAACGTTAAAGTCCACTGCATTCACACGTCCAGTCCGAATTGCACTTGCAGTACAGTTGAAATAACTAATAACGTGACAATTCAATTTTTAATCCTGTCTCCGACATGATTTAATTATCTTTTCCAGTCGTGTCCGAGGTTGTGGGCTCCCTAGACCCTAAATTCGCACTATACAGGCTCGGCGAAGTACCAAACAGTACTGTAGCAAAGCTTAACGACAAAGACTTGACTGCCCTAATGGCTGAAGTATCCGCAGCTCCACCGGTTCTGCAAGAAAAACCATCTTACAAAGACAAATTGCTGTATATTTTTACAAGTGGTACAACTGGGCTTCCAAAAGCTGCAGTCATCACGAATGATAGGTAGGTGCACTTTCTGTTGCGTGAGAAAATAATTTAAGATTCGGGTAAACGTTTAACTCTGTCTTTTCTTATTCCAGGTTTATGTTTATAGCTACTGGGATTTTTATGATAGCAGAGTTCAAAAGCACAGACAGATTTTACACGCCCATGCCTCTTTACCATACTGCAGCTGGTGCAATGACAGTTGGTGCAGCTGTTTTACATGGTGCAACGGTGGTTATCAGGAAAAAGTTTTCAGCGAGTGCCTACTTTCCTGATTGCATTAAATATAATTGTACAGTGAGTTAGGAATGAAAAATAATAATTTAATTTTAAATGTTGTAAATTGGCATTGTATTACATGCAATAATTTTTTTCAGGTTGGTCAATACATCGGAGAGATGTGCAGATACATTTTGGCAGTGCCTCTGAGGCCGGAAGACAAGAAACATAAGATTAGACTGATGTTTGGGAATGGTTTGAGGCCACAAATATGGCCTGAGTTCGTCGAACGCTTTAACATTCCAAGAGTTGCCGAGTTTTATGGAGCAACCGAAGGAAATGCTAATATTGGTACAACAACGGCTCTTTAAAATAATATTAGATTTTTTAAAATATTTTATTAACATTTTTTTTAGAATTAAACTAATACATTTCTTTCAGTAAATACTGACAATACAGTTGGAGCCATTGGTTTCGTATCTCGCATTATTCCATCGTTTTACCCTATTTCTATTTTAAAATCGAATTCCGATGGGGAGCCCATAAGAAATGCAAAAGGTTTATGTCAAACATGTGAACCGAGTATGTATTAAAACAATGACTCTAATAATTATGAATCTATTGCTATTTATATACATGAATTCTATTATTTATTTCAGATGAACCAGGCGTATTCGTTGGCAAGATCATTCCCAACAACCCATCTAGAGCATTTTTAGGATACGTAGATCAAAAAGCATCGGAAAAAAAAATAGTTCGCGATGTGTTTAAAAAAGGAGACTCAGCATTTATATCCGGTACCAATTAAGCTCAGTAATGTCGTAAAAGTTAATATTTAATTTATATGAATAGAGATTATTATAATAGATATATTTTTCTGGAATAGGTGACATTTTAATAGCGGACGAGTTAGGATATTTATACTTTAAGGATAGAACAGGCGATACTTTCCGATGGAAAGGTGAAAACGTGTCCACGTCCGAGATCGAAGCTATTATTAGCAATGTTATTAATTATAGAGACTGCATTGTGTACGGAGTCGAGGTAAATAACTCCTAAATAATTTATAAAAATACGCAGACAATTTAAAACTACTTTTACATTTTTCCTTAGATTCCAGGAGTTGAGGGAAAAGCTGGAATGGCAGCAATATACGATGAGAACAACTCGTTAGACATGAATAAATTATCAGTCGATTTTAAAGACAACTTAGCATCTTATGCTATCCCCAGATTTATTAGGATCTTAACGAAAATTGACCTAACAGGTGGGTGAGATAATTTCTGAAATTATCTATCTCGCAATTACCCTTCAGTTAGATTGAACTAATTAAAAAATGAATTTTTTAGGTACATTTAAATTAAAAAAGAAAGACCTTGTTGTGGAAGGTTACAATCCTAACAGCACAAAAGATAAACTATACTACTTGAGTGAAAAATCTGGTTACCAGTTGTTAACCACAGAAGTCTATGAACAAATTCTAGAAAGGAAAATTCGCTTTTAAGTCAATGATGACGGGAACAATTTTCAACTTTTTCTATGCATCACCAAGAAAGGATTTTTGTCCTTGATTTAAAGGAATTACTTATTACGAAAGTATTTTCTTATAGCGATTAAATTATTCTTCTTATTTTTCTAATATAATTTTTGTATGAGCTTATAACGCGTGAAATTCGATAACAAAACGGTATACGAACTATATTGCATCGAAATAGGAATGAGGGATTTCTGGTTCGAAAATAAATGAACGTGATATTTGAAAAATTATTGTTATTAAAAAATAACGCGGGATTTTAATGCTCGTTGAAAAAGTTACCATTTTATTCTAAAGCTAGAAATCTTTCATTCTTCAAATACATCACATTTTATAATGCAAATGATATTTAAAGAAAGTTGTTTTTATACATAGAGGAGTCTACGTGAAAGCATTCTGTAGATAAAAATTGATTCGTATGAAATGATAGCTCTTGAATGTTCTATAGCACAAAGAGTGAATAAATACGTATTTTATAAATTGGATAGAATTTTTAGTTTTGAATCTAGGCGATGTTAAAGATGTTATACTGTTATTTATATATTTTAAACGAACATGTTGTTGTTAACGGTGTTGTCGTACAGTATATTGAACAATTTTATCTGTAATAAATTTCATAACGAAATGTGAGTCGAAATATGTATTTACTGTAACGAAACATTCCGTTATTAGTTTCATTCAACGCATCATTATAGGTTTTTTGTTTCTATCATAATTAAAGTTTCATTAATTCGACGAATTTTCATGATAGCAAAACATTAGTGACGATATAGAAAGATAACAAAAAATATTTATTGACGTATGTATGAATATCTAGTGGTCGTTAAATTAGTCAAAACAACGAAGATACTTGCATATTTAAAACAACATTTCGAGACAAAGGTTTAAAAATAAAAACACTACAATATTTCGTGTCAAAAATCAAAATTTTTTCGTCAACATAACAATTCTATAAAGTACTTGCAAATAAATATTTTACATATTTAATAAAAAAGATTTTATATTATACCTATATGTTCATGAATTGTATACATGTATCAGTTGATACAATCGTTGTATAAATTCATATTTTGTAACATTTAACAATGTTTATTTAAAGCGTTTTATTTAATATAATCCGAGGTGTAGCTTTTAGTACTCAAAAAGATTGAGAATTTCAACATAGCTCCTGTTGCAGGCTCGAGAAAAATATCTTCCTCAACATTCCAATCATTATTTGTAATCTCTGAAATGCAAAATTTGTAATCTCTAATATGCAAATAATTATTAATTTCATTTAACTTGATAGTTTATCACTTACTTGGCTCGATTCGCGCTGGCTTTGAAAATAAAGTTACGCGTGGTTTCTCCAAAATTATCTTTACCAAGCATTCTAACTTTATCAGTAACTATAATAGAAATTTGTGAATTTATTTAATATTTAATTTTGTATTTGGTATATTTAAAAACTTACCTCAATCAACTCGCGTGTATGACAAGGTTGCAGTACAGGAAGAAATCGATTTTGAATTTTCGACAGCGGTATGCCCGGATGTGTCAAACAATATAATAATATTGAGCCTAACATTCGATCCAGGACTCTTCTGTTTAAAACACCGTCTATTCTGATCCACGGTTTGATGATAACTTTAATCTCTTCCTTCGTTCTACAATATAAATTAAAGAATAATTTTTTTAACAATAATTAATATAAGCCAGCATAATTTCAAATACAGGAAGTTAATTACACTGCCAACTGCTTGGCAGCTCTAGATATATCTTTTTGTGGCAGCAGCCCTGTTCTCTTTCTCAGCGTTCTCTTCTTCGCTTGCGCGTTTTCTTCATCCTCAAGGAATTCCTTATCAGAATCATCATTTTCCAAGTTCTTTTTCTCTACCTTAATTTCTACAAAATCCTCAGCAGTATCAGCTGTTTTAGTTTCTGATAGTGCCTTGGGAATCTCACTCTCTTTAGTTACATTTGCATCACTGCCTTCATCTATTATCACTTCAGGCTCCATGATATAAACTGTATTTTGAGGCATTGGAACTAACGACTCCTTTTCAAGACGATAAATCTTATACGATCGTATCATCCAGGAGTCAGCATAGTGATGATGAATATACCGAACAGTTGTTACTCCAGACCTCAGAAACAGACAGTGTTTAGCGAGCTGTGTAACAATGCTGTGCAATAAATTTTCCCCTAAAGTACCCACAAACTGATTCGTCAGTTCTAAAATACTGGTCCCTAATTCCTTCTTCTCACGTACAAACTCGTAGACTGCCTCTATGTCTTCCAAACTGAATTTCGAATCTATCTTTTCCTTGAAGTCAGAAAATGAAATCCCACTGCTAGGAAAAACAGCAGACTCATTCAGATCATTAATTAGATCATTTGCAGCATCCAATCCTAAAGGCAACAGTTCTGAGGGCACCAAAAAGTCTTCAAAGACCGCACCTCCGCTTAAAGTATCTGGCTTTGGTAAAGTTAACGAATAATATACTTTAAACATGTTTACCACAAAATACTCGTGCGCGTGATGACTATCAGCTACTGTTAAGTTACACAACTCTTCTCTCATCCTCAGCAAAGCCAATCGAGTGTATTTCTTGTGTGCATCACCCGAGTCATCAATCTTGCAATACTGACGCAGATAACATTGTTCTACAGGAATGCTCTTTAGTATGTCACTAACTCGAGTGAAGACCTGTCCATTCACACTCCTCGATGGTACAACAATCTCATTCTTGCTGTCTGAAGCACCATGCTTTACTTTATTAGCATTATCAACCTCCTGTAGAGTGCTTTTATTTACAGTTAGTAATGCATTGAAATCCTCTTTGATGTTCGCTTCGGTATCAGGCTTGAATTTCTTCTTTCTTGGTTCATCTGCATCAAACTCATTTCCGCCTTCATTGCGAACCCTTTTATCTCTACTCGTCAGATCTTTCTGTATATCCATTGTAGTACAATTTTCATTATCAACTAATAGAGATCTGTGACTGTTGTCATTTTCAATCTCCATTGCTGAGTCGTCATCGCCTATGGTTGCACGCTCAACGTCTTCCTTGTTCAACACAATCTTGGTGCCATCTTGGAATTTAATTGTATTGTCATCAGCAACATTGCAAGCAATCTCATCATCATCGCTACTAAAGTTCTCGTCATAATCAGCAAGACTCTTGCCATCCTCAAAATTCCTTTCTTCAATGTCAAATTCATTCTTTTCTGTATCCAGATCTAAAAGACCATCTTGATTGCTATCGTTGACGCTATTCTGCTCAAGGTCAGCTATTATATCAGTACTTTTGTTCAAGTTATCTAAAGTTACTAATACATCTTGGTATCTCTTAGCGATTCTAAAATAAGTCTCATCCTTTTCCTGCAATCTTGGGTCAAGCATGATTACCTGATCGGGTATCTCAATGTCAAAATCGATCTGACCCCTGGTTATGTATTCATAAGTTGCTGCTATCACTCCGCCAGTCATTGGTGTCACCTCAACCCCCATATAACTATCCAATGACGCATTCTGATCACTCAATTGGGTTTGGTAATACCAAGAACTGCTGAGTTTTAGGAAAACATCATACGATTCTTTAAATAGGTCGTAAGACCACCTGGTGTGAAATTTGCATACATAATTGCTGCTCAGTTGATATTGCGAGCTACTCATTGGCATATAATAACCGAATTTCTTGATTGTGGGCAGCTGGCTCTTTTTGACAGTGACTAGCTGATCACTTCTGATCTTTGACATAGCATTTCGCAATAGCATTTCAGGGTACTGTTCGTATACCTTGAACAATTGGTATGCCCAGGACCTCTTGTCCTTCCCGCAGCACATGGCACTATGGATGACAGAGTTAATGACTGCAGAGTGTATGTCATTAACGTTCCGAACATCCTTAGTAAACCCGAGGTTGCCGAATGGTTTCGTAGGGCGAACCACTTTGTACAACAAATTGAACTCTTGCGGGGTGGCTGGCATGGCATGGGGCTCCTTCACTTCAACATCTGAAATATCATAGTACTTTTTAATGATGTACGCAACCAACGACTTGAACACCTCCGCAACCTGTGTTTCAAACTCGTAGCTCTTGTGCTCTTCTTTGAGCTTGTTCATAATGTCATTGAAACGCTTCTTGATAAAGAAGTTCTGCTTGACCTCCTCGACTCCTAGAGCCACGATGTTCACATTCTGCTGTCGCCTGAGCATGTACAGTAGTCTTCTCTGACAAGCCCTTGATGTTTTATTATATGAAACGACGGAATAATCTCGCAGAACATCTCTGACCATGGAGAACGTAATTATTTGTTTTCTTGCATTTGGACATAAATATACCATAGCTACTTTGCAAATCAGCAGAATCTTATCTTCACACGGATCCCAGTCCACCCTTAGTTTGTTCATCCTCTGCAAAGCTCTGTAGTCAACCTCATCATATTTCATCTTCTTCCTATTGCTACACTTCCGTGGCAATACTCTCCTCACGTAAGACTTCTGTTTGATGCCCCGGCTGCCCGTCAATGCCTCGTATTTTCTCTGATCATTTGTATTATCAGTCTTAATTTCCACCTTTCTCTTCAGCTCTAGCGCATTCACAGAAGGAGGACCAGAGACTTTCTTCAACCCAGAGAACTCTGTGAACTTAATAGGTTTCGCTTTTATTGTTGAAAGGTATGTGTCCCTTTGACACTGCACATTCCGTTTCTTCTTCATTCCCTGAGAACTGTTTTTGAGTCCCCAGTTCCAGTTTCTTTTCAAGTGTGCGAAACACGCTGAGTCTATCCCTGCAGCTCCCTTACGGTCGCCGGGAATATGCCCAGTGTCCATTCGCACAGCTTCCTCTGGAGAGCGAGCCACAACTGCCTCCATCAGTGCAGCTTTCTTGTTCATATCCTCCAATACTATATCCATGCCTTGGACAACCAAGCGACCACCTAGTGGAGTGCTGATGCAAGTGTTCCACATGTCGTACCAGTATTTCTCAACCGTCGACAGTTCATCGAAATTATACGTGTATACTGGATACGGTTTATCCTCAATTGTATGGTAGCCAGGGGCAGAAGATGTTGTATCCAGCAGCTCAGTTCGACGATTTATATAAATGAACACCTGATCTTTCTCTTTCAACTTCTGAGGTCCGAATTGTACCAATCCGATGTAGCACAGTCTCGTCATAGTTTCATGAATGTTAAAAATGTATTTGCGCCCATGAAGCAAAGGATTTCGGATCTCTGGTGGCAGTTCTCGAACCAAATAGTGCTTTCGGATGGGATGGTGTATGTATGAATCCAAATCTGGTATAATGTAATGGATGTAATGGAGTTTTAGGAATGCGGATAATGGAAGACGTAAAAGTACGTCACACATTAGTGTCCAGCCTTGGGGCCAACCTGAAAATTAAACAAGTGAGTTTAAATTTCGAACAAGTCTCGACAAATCGTGATACTTACCAGTATATTTTGGCAGAGGCGGCATGAACATTTTCCAACTAATATCCTTGGTATAAATCGTGCTGAATTCTTCTGCTAGTTCATTCGTGATATTACAATCATTGTTCCGCAGAATCTGTATTTGTTCACTTTTCGAAATCGATGGTTCACCAGGGTGTTCATAGACCAGATAATATAAAACAGTATGCAACGTTTGCATGCGTATAAATTTTGGGCTGTATCCATACTTCTTGGAACCTCTGGGTCCACACTTGTAGTTAGGAGACACAGCTTTGAAGTTCTTCAAGCAGGGCTTGACCTCCGATTTATCCGAGACCTCTTTAATGCTGTCATTTTTACTGCTCCCTGGCTTTTCTGAATTCATCTTCGAGGGCATCCTGATTCTCTGAGATAACAGTAAAAAGAACTTTAGCTTTGCTTGCTCCACAGCTGACTGAATAACAGCGTTGTCGACGGTGATGCTTGGATCGCATATAAATATCAAAGACTTGTCTCTGCCGTTGCTACTCAGTGTTACTTTTATATTTTTTACTAGATTATCTTTCGAAAGCTTTTGTAACAATCGTAGTAGAGATTTCTTATCAATTTTCACAATGTAGCCTTCTTTGTCTTCCTCCTCGTGGATCATCTTTAGCAACTTTGTCATATCGTCGATGACCTGGTGCTCTTTAACAGCCTCTATAATCATATTAGCCCTTCGCAATAGCCTGTACGTAATATGAGAATGCGTAATATTATCCTTTTCACTGTTCTGCACGTTTTCCATAAACCCAAACAGTTCGTTAGTCTTACGGGTTTTTATCGGCGCCAAAACAGTGAAATTAACTTTTATGTTTCTATAAGTATTTTGTGCTTTCTCATTCATTTCTTCAGTGACGTGAGTGAGCGTAATGGCGTCGTTTGAACTCTGTTTCGTTTCCGTAGCAGTACTCTTTAGACCTAAGAATGTACGTTTGTACCTATTTGACAGTTTTGTTATATTATATTTGCACAATATTCTATTAACAAGACGAAAAGAATTTTGCATTTCTATTATCGATTCATTCGATCTCTCCTGATCATTTCTATCATTTTCAACAATTGCAACACATTCCTTAGTTTCTACATTTTCCACAATTTCGTCAACTGGTTTTTGATCTACAGCTACCTTGTTCTTCAAATCGTCGTTTTCTGTTATCATCTGCTTTGTTAGCTCCTTTATCTTGTGCATCTCTAAATGAAACTGTTTACTCAACATGCTGTTTTTCTCAAATTTCTTTGATACGTACTTTGTCAATCTTTGTCTGCCTATATCATTCATATAAGTTGCAACAATGCCTTGTTTGACTATGTTTCTCAACACTGTACGTGATTGCAACCTAGTTAAACCCATGGTTTTGGCTAGTTCCCCTTGACATATACCATTGCTTCCAGCAACCTCAATGATATCATTGACTTGTTTCATGTATGGTACACAGAATTTGTGATTGGAGATATTTATTTCTACAAAGTAAAAAATATATTAAAGGTGAGGATCTATATAACCGTTTCTATGTGAAACGATCCATTTAAACCAAACCATGCAATTCATCCTCCTCCTGCACGTCGTCCTTCCATACTTCAGCAACATCGATAGTGGGAAGTAATAATTGTACTACTTTAATCTTCTTCTCTTTCTCTGGATTATTCTTTTGCTGCCACTCTGTAGGCTCTGCATTTGGATATAATGTTCTGTATGGTACTATCTGCTCAGAAAGAATTTTAATACTATAGTTTTAATGGTCGAAAGTAACGATTGCGCGAAATGATTATTTGTTAAAATTTAACTTACAATATCAGTCTTGACAATCTTCTGAAAGAATGAAGTCTTGAACAATTTCTTAATTGCATTCTCAATTCTTAACTTACGTTTTATTTCGTCATAATCAGCAACACAATTAGGCTTTGACTGTAAAATCTTAATAACTTCTTCTGCTAAAAAAATTGCTTTAGGTTTTCTTTCAACAAAAAACCTAGTAAGATGTAACAGACTTCCATTACAACTGTGACCACCACTTTTCTGATGATGAATCTGCTTTGTTATCAGCTTGTGACGTAACAATAATTTTCTATGGTAGAATAAACTCTTAGGATCCTCCTTCAGTGCACTGAGACTCAGTTTACCCTGTGTAACTTCGCCATGATACCGTGACCTGCCTACTCTCTCGAGGAAACAGTATTGTATCACATTTAGATCAATCAAAGGAGACACTTCTTCTCCCATTAATGCATGGTTTCTTGTATACTGCGATGCAACAATGACCAACTTGTTTCCATATTTTTGTGTGACCTCATCTAAAGTAAGATTTCTGACATATTCTGTTATGTCTTTACGAGTGGAAAAACTTGAACATGATCCTTTGATGCCTGTCGCAGCATTATAAATGGGACAATGTGGATAAATATCTGGCGGCACATGGTCCTGTCAATGATTATTTTAAATAATAATTTATAACCAAAGGAAATAATTGTACTTATTCTTAGAATTAATTGTTTGCTGATTATCAAGGAGACATTTTTAAAATGTGGTACTTACAGGTTCCAATATGATACCTAAATCAGGATCTACATATTCATAACGATCAAAGATGACAAGGGGCTCTCTTGCAGTCTGTAGTTCACAAAATGCAAATTCTCTAACAGCTACACATATTGACCAAACTTGAGTCATTAATGGTTTTGGAATTGCTTCAGGATTGTGTAGACGTTGTTCTAAACGCAACCATAATGCTGCAAATACAAAAAGAAAGAGGTTATCTGAAGTTGTAATAGCAATTCATTCCAGTCTTGTTACTTCAGATTTACAAAAATTAAAACTGCTAACGTTGTTAACTGAGGCATGCTATTAACTTGAGACAATCAATTTTTCGTCTGCAATTGCTGAAATTTTGTTGAAATAAATATATTTATGTTTATGCTAACCTTGTAACGTGATTCCGTCCAGACCTTCCAAGGCGACTTCGTCAATAATTATGTCGATTAAATTAATTGTAGGATACGCCATGATACGTACTATAATATGTACTAAAATTCACTGTACACGATAATAGAATCTTCGTATCTTTATTCGTTTCTGCATTTTATAAAACACTGTCAACGAGACGTGGAAACATGTTTCTGTTATTGAAATCGTGCGCCATAGAAAACATTATTTAAACCATAGAAGAAGAATAAGATAGATCTGAAAACGGCACTATAGCATAGGATATTTAAATAATCGACAACAGCGCCGCTCGTGACAACGGTAGTATGGACTATGGTAGTTACGTGACTTTACGGATTCAGCAGTTCGGAATCTGCTGCACAGATTACTTTACATAGATGATATTATCTAAAGATGTGTAGTTGCTTGATAAATACGAGATGGAGTAACCGGCGTTTTCTGTCAGGATTGAAAAAGAAACTGAATTCAAATAGAAATATTCTCCGGATCGAGAAATGCAGTGATATCTTCTTATAACATTTTTGAACCATTAGAGGCATTACAACGAAATAATGATATTTCTGATAAATATAGAAAATAAATCTTGAAAACAGTGTTTGATTTAATTGTAAAAATTTCATTGAAGTATGGAAAAATATGATTTTCACAAATGCTTACACGTACTTGGTATATGACTAACATCCATGTGGAAGTGGATTACTTAATATTTATGCTCCGAAAGTATTTCTTTAACAAATTAAATTGCAAGATAACCAGAGGGGTGTTCAACCATATTTCTAACAAACAACATTGTCGTAAATATTAAGAAGCGAGAAATAATCAATTTATCAACGAACATTGTCTGTTGCAACAATTTCTCTACATATTCGTGCTCGAAACATTACTTCATACGTCTGATTCGATCAATTATTTGCACTAACAAATTAAATGGCGAAATAGTCAGTGAGGTGCTTGACCATACATCTAACAAATAGAATTGTTATAAATATTAAGAAGCGAGAAATAGTAAATTTATTAACGAAAGCAATTTGGTCGATTTATGCAAGTCTCTTGTTAATTAAATCTCGTTGGTACTTTTCATGAACAATTTAAGTGATGAAATAATTTATCAGGCACCGGATATCATTATTGCAAAATAAATTATGGCGAATATTAAATAACTTGAAATAATCGAAGTTATCGAAATTANGGGGGGGGGGGGGGGGGGGTTCCCTTCGTGCTCACTCGGCTGAATGTCAAAGCTCAATCAGTCGGGACTTGACTAATGGTGGAATCAGACGTGTTTCAAGACAGCTCTTCCAATAATGTC